TAAAATAATTTCCCCTTTATATGATCAAATTTTATCGTTTCATCACAATCTTTGGCTTGCACCGAATATCATCATCTCATTTTTAGTGAATTTGCTTGCTCATTTATCGTTCTTACTCTCTTTTTTATTTACCTCTAGTCTATTTTAGTTTAGGATTATATTTTTACCAACTAACACTTCTGGAAAGCTCACTTATTATTTTTAAATTGTACTAATTCGCAACTTCCATTCATGTTCCTTTTATCAGCCATGTTTCTGAATCTTCAGTGGCCAGTAATTTCTCCGCCAACCTTACCAAACTTGACCTTGGCCTCCATTTCGCCTTGGATTTATCTCCAACTTCTCTTCTCATCAGACCTTTATCCTCTTTGTATACGTTTGCTAGACAATTTGGCGATAGCCATCTAGAATTAACTGAGCCTAATCCTGATGAATCGAGTGAGCTAGTTTCGACATGCAAACAAAATCAAGTTCCGAGAACGCAAGCGACAGTAGCAACCGTTTCGGCTCCAACAAAAAGATCTTCCATTGGTAAATATACCAGCATAATTGACGAGTCTAAGTTAAGCTCTATGGTTGACTCTACCTCCGACGAAAATTTCTATGATTCTGTTTTCTGTTGGGTTCGTCACCTCGAGATGGCAGAGAAGGAAATAAATGCGCATTTGAATCATAATGCTACTGACGATAGTAAACTACATACCGACAGCAACCAGTGCTTGGTGCTACTTCAAAGAAGTCTTGATCCTGTTTGGGTGCTTATTGCCAACTGCCTTCTTGAGCAGGGCCTGTTCTTCGAAGTACAGGTGAGTACTTCGTTGGTACTTATTTCATTAAATTTAGGTTTCCTCCATTTTCGTACAATTTTCGAGTGCTTTTATTATTTTGAGAACTAGTCTCTGACAAGTTATAGCTTAGTGATAAGAATGGTAAGACCCATTTAGAATGACGACTACGATATCGTGCGAAACGTCTGAGAATGTACTAATTCCATCGTCCAACCCTGGGAATTACCACAACTGTTTAGCACACGTTTGGTCAAAGGATCGGCTTTACTTGTCTCTTTGATGAGTTGTTGAATGGTGCTAAGAATGGCGAGACTCACTGATGATGCAAACTGCGATGCCGGCGAAACGTCTGGGAATGTACCACGTCCATGGTTCTTCTCATATAGTTTTACTGACTTCCTTATTATTCGTTTATAAATTCGTTTTTGGACTACCAGTAGCTCTTATGTATAATTGCTGTATTCACTCTGTTTCGTTTTAACTGATTAATTTTTTTCCCACAATTACATTAATACACCTCATGTTTCCATTTAATTTCACATATTTTCACTTCATAAATTGGATTCTCATCCAAGATTAATTGCAGGGCCTGAACGTTATCTGTAAAGAAAACTTTCGAGAAACAGCACTTGTCTTATTTCAACAAATATTCCCTATCTTTATTCTTGTACGGAATTTTCAGTTGAAAACGGATATTTAGGTTTCTTATAGTACTTAATATTAAACTCTGTTTCCAAACAACTATCCGAATCAGAATGTTTTAGTCACTAAGTTGTGACGTTTGGATATCTTTTCAATTTATATG